ATCAGATTCATGATCCCGAAGCAGTAGACACTGATATATTATTCTGTCTATAAATGCTTCGGGTTCACGAGTATGAATCTCGGGGTTCGTGTTTCAGGAAGAGAGGCGACAGAACTTTTATGGGTGACTGTACTGTATTTGTGGGTAATTTATGTGATTGATTTATAGCTGCTGAATTTTTTATATCATAATATGCGCCAGGTACTGACAAAACTAAATCAGGAATTTTGTTTCAATTGGACACTCCAGTCAAACCAGCAACACTCAGTCACGTCTGTCTATCTATCTCTCGCCACACACCACACACACACACCACTTTTTGAGAAAACAGAATACCAACGTTACTTGACAAACGACAAGCTTCTGACTCTATACTGAAACTTTCGGTACACCCAACCTAATTGTGTGGAGTTTGTAGAGCAATGACTGTCTCAACACACCCAACCATCGCCTACACTAAGTTTATCCTTGAAAATCAACACTGTAAAAAGATGAAGTATGGGGATAAAGTGGAAGAAAATTACCAATGGACAACACTGTTCAAAGATAAAGAAAACGTATCGCGTTCTTTGAACACACACACACGCACACACACACACACACACACTCAATCACACTAACCTTCAACCTCACACTTGAGAGAAAGTTATAAAGAGACACCACTTAACTTCCTGTGAAAGAATGATTATCTATCTGCCTGTAAGAGTGAGAGACACAATTGAAAAGGTTAAAGGTAATTATTTGTTAGATTCATTTATCATCATACTTAGGCAAAGGTAAAGTATTTGTGCTTTCGTGTGTGTGTGTGTGTCATTGCGTTTGTTTTGTAAGCTATTTTGAGGATAATTTAATTTATTTATTTACAAAGGAAAATCGTAGGATATATGATGAAGTAAGAGAGAGAGATAAAAGGTAAATTGGAAACGTGAAAACAGAGATATGAAAAGACCAAAATAGATAGAGAAATAGACATAAATAATTAATCAGACAAACGGACAGAAAGATAAATCCATATTATATTACATGTCAAAATTTCTTTCTATAATATCTAACCCGTAATGACATTACGCATCTGTCATAACGTTAAGCTTAAATATAACAAATACTATTCACTATACCTGACCATCACTCCCACAAAAACTGTCATAGAAAACGGCCACTTTGAATGTATTTAAGGAGATACTTCGACAAATTAAATCTGACGAGAGAGCCGTGAATCATGTTGATGGAATAGTCTTTTATAACCCACAAAAAATAGTTATACCAATCATAAAACTCCTTAGTAAGACTGGAATGTCTTGTGTATGAAAAAGACAATACTTTTAAAGTAGAAATGATATATGTTTATGAGCAGTAACTAAAAGAATTGCAACACCTTAACCCATTCTTAAGAGCAAAATGTAAAAAAGAAATTATGACGAACGAGAAGAAGGAATAGAGAGTTCTATCACTCATAATTTTTCAATGTTTTTAGAATAGTGTAAGAATTAACCTTGATACTCCCTTAAAGACCTTCGTTATTGAAGCGCAGTAATATCATTATAACAGCAACAACAGAGGAGGAATAATAAAAATTAACAATATAGAAACCTTACAAGTGATTATCCACCACCACTGACAGTACCTTAATGATTACAAAACAACATGTATGATACAGGAGTGATCGGATCATGAAAACCTTGATAGCTAAATCACCTAAACTGAATATCAGTAACAATGTACAACTTGTTATGTTTATTAATGCGTTGGGAGGAGGCAATATTTTTTTTTCGTGTGTAGAGACGTGCTCATTCTCTCTCTCTCTCTCTCTCTCTCTCTCTCTCTCTCTCTCTCTCTCTCTCTCTCTCTCTCTATATATATATATATATATATATATATATATATATATATATATATATATATATATATATATATATATATATATATATATATATATATCTACCTGTTTCTCATCGTGCTTCAATTTACCTGCTTTGTCCTTCTTGTCATTATATGAATATTTCTCACCTCCTCTTCATTTTTCCCCTCCATTGTACTCCCTTCATCACCTTTCCCCATCTCCTTCGCTTACTATCTATATTTTGTTCACGTCCTCTCATCTTCTTGTCTCCTTAAAATACATTTATCACTACTCTTTCACTCTTAATCTTCAGTTCAGTACTGATTCTCTCCTCTTTTCTCCTCCCCATTCTTCTCGTTCCAAACATCTCTCCTCCTCCACGTACTTCCCTCTCTCAATTCTTTCCCTCCCTTATCCACCGTCTCCTCCTTCTCTCTCTTGTTCAGTATTTTCTCCTTTCCTTTCTTGTTTAGTCTGTTCTCCTTCTTTCTTGTTCACTCTCTTCTTCTTCCCTCTCTTCTACTTTATTCTCCGTCGTCTCATGGCATTATCTTCACCATGTCACTTTCTCTTTCTTTTTTCCATCCCCTTCACTCCCTTTCCTGTACAGTCATTCTCTCTTCTTCCTCCTCCTTCCTCGAATTTCTCTCTCTCTCTCTCTCTCTCTCTCTCTCTCTCTCTCTCTCTCTCTCTCTTTCTTCACGCGCCTATCATGTGTGTGTGTGTGTGTGTGTATACGCGGATTGTAAACGCTACATTAAAAACAGTTTAAATAATTTTTCGCCGTTTTGTATAATGTGTCGCTGTATGGTGTATGTTATGTTGGAGTCGACAAATTTATTCATTCACTGCGGATCTCAGAATGTATATTAGTGAATTTAAAACCAAATATGTATAACTTTGTCACTAAAGAACACTATCCATCTATACATATATAGTACATAAACACACATTGGCGAAATTTAAGAATATATTCAGGTAATTTTACATCAACGAATTTATTTGTCCTCCTTGAGGATCTACTGAGAGAGAGTTAAGACTTAATATCAAAGGTGTAATACTCCAATGTATACCTGTGTGAAGCTTCATATAACATAGCATATTTTACCCATATGTAAGATGGGAAATAAGACAGTGTGTGTGTGTGTGTGTGTGTGTGACCCTCTTTCAGTATCTCGGCTCCTACCTGTCAACCACCGCGGACATTGATGAAGAGATTCAAAATCGGATCAGACTTGCATCTCAAGCTTTTTGGCAGACTCCGTATCCGTGCCTTCAGCTGTAGGGAGCTGAACTTATCTAAAAAGTTGCACGTATATTGAGCAGTGGTCCTCCCGACCCTACTATATGCAGCGAGACATGGGTCACATACAGGAGGCACCTCCGGGCACTTGAAAACTTTCACCAACGTAGTCTACTTTCCATCCTCCGAGTTCGCTGGGAAGACAAGATAACAAATGGCAGTATTTTTGCTGACACCAACTGTAAGAGCATCGAGGCTACCATTATCAATGAACAACTACGTTGGGATGGCCATGTTACCCGCATGGACGACAGAAGACTGCCAAAGCAGCTACTTTACAGTTACCTTAAGAATGGTATACGTAGTGCTGGCGGGCAACGGAAAAGGTATAAGGATAGTCTTAAGACAAACTTGAAAAAGTGCCAAATCGACCCCTCACTTGGGAGAGGATCAATCCACACCGTAGTGCTTGGAGGGGCACCACACGAGAAGGTGTCAATACTTTCGAGTTAGCCCGACTGCATATCGAAGCAGAAAACCGCCAGCGCCGAAAAGACGCTGCCGCTGCCCCTCCCGCACTAGATGTAGCCCTCCACACGTGCAACGTCTTCGGACGACCCTGCCTGTCCCGTATAGGCCTCTCGAGTCACCTGAGAGCTCACCGACGAAGATGACATCCTTAATAACTCATTTCATTGTATCATAGCTGGATGGTCGTTATACTCGACTCCGAATGACAGCAAAGTAGTAGAAGTAGTGTGTATGTGTGTGTGTGTGTGTGTGTGTGTGTGTGTGTGTGTGTGTGTGTGTGTGTGTGTGTGTGTGTGTGTGTGTGTGTGTGTGGAGTAGAAAAATGATTCCTGAATAGAAATTGACGTCAAACCTACAGCAAAGGTCACAGTCACACTTGCACTTACTTACTTACTTACTTAATGACTGACTGACTGACTTACTTACGTGCTATACTCGGGCTTAACATAACACACACACTGTATTGGAGCCATGAAATTATTATTTCTGTCAAATGTGAACTACTTATTATGCAAAAATATTCAAATCGCGTGCAGGGTGGAGAGTATGACCCTCGCGGTGATATGCGTGTGTGTGTGTGTGTGTGTGTGTGTGTGTGTGTGTGTGTGTGTGTGTGTGTGTGTGTGTGTGTGTGTGATGTGTGAGTGTGTGTTTGTGTGTGAGTGTGTGGAAGAAAGATTTACTGGCACATTACCAATGACACAAAGAGAATTAATTATTGTGTTGATAATTATTTAGAGGGTAAGAACAGTGTTCTTTTGACTATATATATATATATATATATATATATATATATATATATATATATATATATATATATATATATATATATATATATATATATATATATATATATATATGGGGTCAAAAGAACACTGGTTCCTTGCCCTCTAAATAATGACTCAAAAATATTCAATATTGCTGTTGAGACTCATCATACACTCCTCACCTAACCTAAACTAACTTAACCTAATCTATTCCAACCAGACCTAACCTAAATTAACTCAACCTAACCTTATCAAGCCTAACCTAACCTAATCTAATCTATCCTAACCTAACTTATACGTATAAATCCGTGTGAGTTTAGCATTTATTGTAGAAACTATGTAAACTAAATAATAACGTTCCAACATGAGCCATAAATCACCTTGTGATTAATCCATTTTAAAAAATCCATTTGTGAGTTTAGTAATTATTACCCCCTAAAAATCGCTTGCTTTGACTTAAATAATAAATAAATTTGTTGTCTTGTGAGGTAAATAACATTCTCCCAATATGAGTCATAAATCACCTTCTAAGTAACTCATAGGATCAAATTCCTGTGTACACTGTATCGTAATAGGATTACCCTTTCTGTGAGCTAACGAGATGTTGTCCCTCCTGCAGCAGGCGAACACCCGGCGGCCATGCAGCGAGGTGAGAGCTCTACGGCTGTGCCTCGGGTCTCTTTCCTGTTCCTTCTCTCCGTCTGCTCCACCTTCATCGTGTTCACCAGATGATGAGATTATCCAGCCGGACCAAGTGACGACGTGGACAAGACGACGACATCTAGGGGGACCTCCTCATCCTCCTCCATATCCTCTTCCTCAAAATCCTTCTCCTCCACCTCCTCTTCAACATCCTCTTCTATCGTCCGAGTTTTATCTTCGTCGGATGGAAGTGATCACGTGAGCAGTAAGAGAAGAGGATGGGAGACAGGTACAGGGATGTAAGATAACAGATGGTAATCAGGATGAAATATCTGTGACAATGTTGTGATGGAGTTTGCTATTGCTGCTGCTGACGACACCTTAGTTGAGAATGCCACTGAGGTGATGTAACTATTACCACGACTAATGTAACCATTGATAACTTGGCTAAGGTGTTTTATAAGATGACATAATTATTGATAACTTGACGACAGTGTTCAAACGAGGCGTTATTGACGGCACCATCTTGTCTCCAGAGTGGTGTGGGGTGTCAGTCATCAATAATCTCGTAGAAATTTGGTTTCAAAGTCTCGTAATCACCAAGAATACGTCAACAACTTGAATCCTTAACAGAGTAGAATGAAAAGTACCTGGCCGATAGCTTACCTGAGCTACGCTATGGTATGCAGAGTAATTAAACCACAAAAATAATAACACAATCTCTCCACCTTACACTTCATGGTACAGTTAAACTTTGGAGGAATAAAGCAACAATTCACGAAATACTTTAGTCGATTTTTTATATCTTATTTAATATCTGACTTTTAGAACAATGATATAATTTTGTATGATTGTTTATTATTATTAATTATTGATTCAATATAATATTCATTATTTGTTTAAGAATAAAAGACTTCACAATTTGACTCTTTTGTTAAATATTTCTTCTTACTCTCATCAGGGAGTCCAAAGACTGTCCTTTAGCGAGGGGAAGAGAGCCAAAAATGACATACTTTAAATGTCAGGTGGAGAGATTGAGAGCTGATGGAGACGCGTAGGACAAAGGTCAGTCCTCTGTTGGAGAATCCTCGAGTGAGACAAACATTACCCTGACACAACCACCTTCCTTTGAGTGAGACTTGTGGACTCATGGAACACTCCAGGCTAGACCAACACTGGCACACATTCAAGTACTGTATGTTCAAGAGCCTATACATGCCAAACACCTGCCAACAGACCTAACTGGAGGTCCGACCTGTGAGCTAACAAGTGACCATGAGGATATGAAATAAGAAGCTCAAAGAACGCCATTATCGACGCCATTAAAACCGTGTCACTTGATACACCAACACTTATGAGTCTATACCGATGAACAATGCATTCTGCAGATCAAGTTAACACCAGAAATTGAAAACAACACCTGACGGTACAGATGAAATATCTAAAAAATATCTCAAGTGGCAGAAATAATTGGGGATTCAAACGCTGTTATAGATAATTTGGGGAAAACGCTGTTGGATATAATGAGGGGAAAAGGTACCGTATTATCAAAAAGCGAGAGTATAAAACACCTCAGGGACGATATGGTAAGAGTCGAACGCACTGTGTTGGATATAATATAAATAAAAGAAAACTCTCAATAATGGATCAAAAGGTAGAAAAGAGTGTGTGGTGTTGGTGGGCCACAAGTGTGGTGAGGAAAGTCTAAGGAATTGAATTCTCGATCAAATCAGGGAAGTTGGTGGACCAATTAAAGGCGTCACAGTCACTCAGGTGCTGGCCTGCCTTGTCAGCCTGCCAATCAACGAAAGCCACGTCATCCAATTAGTGATGTCAGAGGCGGCTACTGATTGGTCAAGCTTGTCAGACTGCCAATCACGGGAGGAGCCATGACGTCATACATTACGTCAAAAGATTCCACCAGTAGGAAGGAATATCCCCCCCCAAGCCTCACCTCCCCCTCTCCCCTAGTGTTGAACGAGACAGAACCACTGTCAAGCAGAGAGAGACTGAGAGATAACGTGATTGTCATATTGTTTTGATCACTAAAACGCGCGATAATTATACATTAGATCTAAAGAAGTTAGTTTAACACACACATGTATACAGTATTATTGCATGTACAGTATGTGTGTACAGTAATTCTCAAACATTAAAAATTCTAATTAGAAAATTCCTCGGCGCAGAAGTACTTTTCATATACTCGTGAACCATCAAGACATTTGAAGAGAAAAAATAAAATAATCCATCCTAGTTTCGTCAATAATTGAGAGAAATGAAGAAGAGTGAAAACGAACAGGTGGAGAAGAAGATGAAGAAGAGAAGAAGAAGGAGAGTAATAAGCAAACAGGAAAGAGAGAGAGAGACAGAGAGGAATACTCGTCAATCAAGACACCAACTTGTACAGACAACTTTTTCATCCGTGTTTGGTAGTAACAATCACGTACAGTATAATTTTGTACATACCTTCATTATTTGTTAATTATACTGTAGACACTCATATGATCAGGCTCATATGAGGGGTGATGGAACCTCGGTGATATATGGATTAGGTCTAGGTTATATTACAAATTATACTACAATAATAAGACAATGGTCAAGTGATTGGGTGGTCGATAAGAGTGATACATCCAATCATACTTTACTATCTTACACAGTTTAAACTATTGGTAAGTTAAGTTTATTTCTTCTGGACAATCTTTAGCACTCCTGTGTGACCTTGTGTAGTACATGAACTACTAATGTACTTTTCATGTAAATCCAGGGAAATAATGATGATAATGATAACAGTGGCGATGTTGATGATAAAGATGATGTTAATAATGGTTATAATGATGATGATGATGATGACGATGACAGTGTAAAAGAAAAATAGCAAGGTAAAAACTATGACCAAGAAGTAAAAACAAAAACCAAAAAACGCTTAACTGTGGACATCAACAGTAAAACAAACATAACATCAGTACAGTATAACCGAAGTGTGTTTTATATACTCAAGAGTGTGTTTTTTATTATAAATTAATGTCTCCTGTTTGTGATGGGAGACGTTGAAGATTTTTATTTTACTGTGTAATAAAGAAACTTGTGAGTGTACATACGGGACTATAATTTCATACTATGTACAAAACAACAAAACAAGTTGAACTACATAAGACAAACTGATGATGACGATGATGATGATAATGATGATGACGATAATGATGATGATCTGGCTTAGTTCAGATCCCATGACGTCATTAAGAGCATCAGTCATTCCTATCTCGGTGATGCAGTCACCACTGATACCAGTGGTGTAGTCATCATTAGTATCCGTGGTGTAGTCACCACTGGTATCGGTGGTGTAGTCACCACTGGTATCGGTGGTGTAGTCATCACTGATATTTGTGGTGTTGAGTCATCACTGGTATCGGTGATGTAGTCATCACTGGTATCTGTGGTGTAGAGTCATCACTGGTATCGGTGGTGTAGTCATCACTGGTATCGGTGTAGAGGCATCGCTGGTATCTGTGGTGTAGAGTCATCACTGGTATCGGTGGTGTAGTCATCACTGGTATCGGTGGTGTAGTCATCACTGGTATCGGTGGTGTAGTCATCACTGGTATCGGTAGTGTAGTCATCACTGGTATCGGTGGTGTAGTCATCACTGGTATCGGTGGTGTTGAAACATCACTGGTATAGTTATATTTATATATTTGTGTTATAGTACATAGCATGTAAGTGTTTTTTGTAAAAGCAAAACCATTCAACACTCATTGTATTCTGCCACACCTCGACTTCAGTAATAAGTTTCTCCTCCTTATGGCTAAACTACACCACAAACTTAACATCACTGGTATCGGTGGTGTAGTCATCACTGGTATCGGTGGTGTTGAAACATCACTGGTATAGTTATATTTATATATTTGTGTTATAGTACATAGCATGTAAGTGTTTTTTGTAAAAGCAAAACCATTCAACACTCATTGTATTCTGCCACACCTCGACTTCAGTAATAAGTTTCTCCTCCTTATGGCTAAACTACACCACAAACTTAACGTGTATAGAATACAGGAAAGAAAAAAAGTCGAATTAATTTCTTACTTATTTTCCATCTATTTACTAAGTAACTTGTTTTGTTTACTTTCCTGGGTACTTGAAGGTTATGTAAGGAAACATATATGAAAATAAAGGTTTATATATATATATATACTGTATATATATATAGCTCTCTTAAACAGATGGATCTATTCCAAGGTTAATGTACTGTAGTTTTAAGACAAATATCAGTGTACCATTTGTCTATGTGATCATCAGTGGAATAAAACGGTATTTTTAGAGTCATCTTATATTATTAACACTGTACCTGAACCTTAATGATGGCACATCTTTCTTGCAGTAGTAACTATACAAGATTATCTGGCAATAATTTCAAGAAAAAGGACACACACACATATACTGTATATATATATATATATATATATATATATATATATATATATATATATATATATATATATATATATATATATATATATATATATATATAGAGAGAGAGAGAGAGAAGAGAGACTAGAGAGAGAGAGACCGGTTGAATAGACAGCCGTGAACCCATCAACATATTAACAACTGCATATCTGTAACTAAACCTACGTGCTTTTTGAAAACAGCAAGCCTAACCTAAACTAACCTAACCTAATATAATCCACAATTGGTATGTTTCTTGACAGAATCGCGTGTAGCAAGCACGTATGCACATCCCAACACAATAATATCAAGACGAGCAAAGCATTCTCCCCGCTCGCTAGATGTATTTACTAGCTCGTGTAATCATCCTGGCACACACAGTACCGGCTGAATAACCCACGTGACTGTTTAACCTGACCGAGGCTATATACAAGACCGTCCTGCTGCTAATTCAAAAAGGCTATATATAGGACATAACATGACATCCTGTCCTGACATATCATGCCATGTGCTGTCATGGCAAGTCATAACATGTCAGGACAGGACATATGTCATAATAGGTGATTTAATGTCATTCCATCACGTCATGACATATCAAGTTATTTCTTGACATCCTTTTAAGTCTTGTCATAACATGTCAGGACATGTATAACATGGTATGTTATGACATGTCAAGTCAGCCATGTCATGTCAGGACATGACATATCATGTCATGAACTGTCCTGAAATGTCCTATCCTGACATGGAATGTCACGTGATGTTATGACATGACATGACATGTCATATCACATTATGACTGGTCATGGTCTGTCGTGACATGTCCTCACATGTCATGTCATTCATATCCTGACATATCATGTCATTCATGTCATGACATGTCATGTCAAGTCATGTCATGTCCAGTCCTGACATGGTCAGGACAGGGCATGACATGTCCTCACATGGCATGACATGACATGTTATGACATGACATGTGATATGTAATGACATGATATTATAGGTTATATCATTACATGACTTGACATGACATTACATGCCCTGAAATGTCCTGTCAGGTCATTATAAGTATGTCCTGACATGTCATCTCATGACATGTTATATCCTGACATGGCATAATGTCATGTCATGGCATGACATGTTATGGCATTGTATGTCCTGACAACAACTAAAGATATGTCATGTCATGTCAGGACATGACACGTCTTGACATGACATGACATGTCCTAATATGGCATAACATGACATAATATGTTATGTAATGACATGACATGACTCTCCTATCATGTCATGTTATGAATGACATCATATGACATGTCCTATACTGGCATATCCTGTCCTGACAATTCATGTTATGACATAAAATGTCATATAAAGTTACTGTATTTACAAACATTTGGTGTAAATGTAAATTATCAAATTGCTCGTCCATTTTCTCCTAATTTCCTCAGTGTTACCAGAGTTCGGTAATCAACTCACCTTCAGTATTTCTCATATAAATTAATTATCATTATTTATTTACAATCATTAACAAGATCAAAATTATTATTAATTCATTTAAATTACATATAAATGAATGTTCGGTATATTATTCCATTCAAGGTACAGAAGGTTCATTAATAACTCACCTCCGTCAAGGCTCAGGTGTGAAGGTCTCGTTTTCTATGAAGCTTAAATCCCAGAAGTTGACGGTTACGCTCCCGTGAATTAATCCTTTTAAATAATCACTTCTCGTGTTTATTCATCTGTTTTTCATGTATCACTAAACACTACAGTCACTGATGTTAATACTGTGTAAAAAATTTCACTTTTAGTAATTATGTTTAGAAATTCAGGATAAAAAATGCACGGGCACAAAAAAATGGACTTGCCACTGACACAGACTGACGAGCACTGTTTAAATTTTAAATGACCGACACCGACTCCTGATTAGTCATCGCTACCCTTCCTGGTTTCTAATTGGTCATTGCCAACCTCTCTAGCTCCTAATTGGTCAATACCCCCATCCAGATTTTTTAAATTTAGTGTTTAATATCTTTTTTATCAAGAAACGTTAATCTATTTCCTTACTTAATTTACGTAAAATAATGTTTAAATTAACATATAAATATTTATTATGCACTAAAGATTACAATTCATGCAAATATAAATTCATATAGAGTTTCATTATGTATTTCAAATCGAACCACTGTATGTGACGTGACATTATTTGAACTTCCCTCCACGACTCTCCAACCAGCAAAACTTCCCTCCACGACTCTCCAACCAGTAAAACTTCCCTCCACGACCCTCCAACCAGCAAAACTTCCCTCCACGACTCTCCAACCAGTAAAACTTCCCTCCACGACTCTCCAACCAGTAAAACTTCCCTCCACGACCCTCCAACCAGCAAAACTTCCCTCCACAACCCTCCTACTACACATACTTCCCTCCACGACCCTCCTACTACACATACTTCCCTCCACGACCCTCCCAACGTCCAATAATACTTCACAACCTTCCTGCCAACCAACCTTCCCTCCACTACCCTGCATGACACCACCAACCAACCTTCCCTCCATTAACAGTTATGGCATGATATGACATGACATGGCATAATATGTTCTCACATTTCGTGTCTTGTCATGTTAGGTCATGTTTTAACATGTCACGTCATGATTTGACATGATATGACATATCAGAACAAAATGACAGAGACCTGCTATTGCATGTCGTGAGATAATATTATCTGTCATGCTATAACAGGTCACGTCATGACATGTAATGTTCTTTTATGTTATGTCATGTCATGTCATGCCAGGAATTGACATGACAAAATATGACATGACATGACATGTCGTGTCATGACATGTTATCTTCTGTCGTGTAATGTTATGTTCTGAAATGTCATGTCATGGCATGTCATGACTTGACATGACAAAATATGACATGACATGACATAATATGACGTGTCATGACATAACAGAAAATAACATGACATGACATTTCAGAACATAGCATAACATATTACAGAACATGACATGACAGGACAAGATATGACATTGCAGAATACTACACAATATGCAAAACATGGCATGACATGAAATATCATGTCCTGTTATGTCATGTCTTTTATATAAGGTCATATCTACTGTATGTCATGACATCATAAGAAATATCATGCCCTGTTATGTCATATCATTTCATGTCATGTCATGTCATGTCTCAAGTGACATATTACATGGCTTTTCATGACATGATATGCCATAACAGGACATGACATGACATGCAATGTCATGTCCCATTATGCCATAGCCCGTTATTTCATGTCATATCATGTTGTCATGTCATGAAGTCATGTCATGTCATGTTCTGTAATGTCATATCATGTCATAACAAAACATGGCATGACATGAATTTTCATGACATGACATAACAGGATGTCACATGACAGGACATGTCATGTTATGATGTGAAAAGTCATGTCATAATCATGTTCTGTAATGTCATGTCATGAAAAGTCATGTTCTGTAATGTTATATCATGTCATATCATGACATGAATTGACTTGACATGACATTATTTTTCATGATATAACATGACATGACACGACAGAACATGCCATGTCATGTTCTAATATGTCACGTCATATGACATGGCAGGACATCGCAAGAAAAGTCATGTCATGTCATGTTCTATAATGTCAAGATATGTCGTGAAAAGTTGTCATATCATATGTTTTGTAATGTCATATGTCATGTCATGTCATGAAATGTAATGAAAAGTCATGTAATGTCATGCTCTCTAATGTCATACCATGTTATGATTTGACATGACATGTTTTCTTGACATAACATGGCATATGATATATAACAGGATATGACATGACAATATATGACATGTCGTGGCTTGTCATGAAAAGTCATGTCATGTCTTGTTCTCTGTCATATAATATCATGTCATGTCATGAAGTCATGTCATGTTCTGTAACGTCATATAATGTCATGTCATACCATATGCCATGACTTGACATGATATGAATTTTCATGACATGACATGACATGACAGGCAGTGAATGGAAGTTTGGTTGGAGGGAGAATCTTGAAGGGTAGTGGAGGGAATGCTGGATGGCAGGAAGGTAGTGAAGTATTGTTGGGAGGTGGGAGGGTAAAGGAGGGAAGGTTGTGTAGTAGGAGGATTGTGGGGGGAGTTTGAGGGTCTCGGAAGACTAGGGTAACGTTTCTTGATACAGACGATAAATACTACTATTTAAAAAATCTGGAGGGGGTATTGACCTATCAGTAGCCAGTGTGCTTTACAATGACCAATTAGAAACCAGGAAGGCTAGCGATGACTAATCAGGAGTCGGTGTCGGTCATTTAAAATTTAAACAGTGCTCGT